CACATTACGTTACTTGCTGCTCTATCGGGCAGATCGATTGCCAGTTGATTGTCACATTAGCTGACACACAGGCAGTGGCGGCCCATTAGTCGACACTGGCTCCGGTGCCTTAATGTCGGAGCACAGGGAGCACTCGCCAGAAGAAACAAGACAAACAAAGAGAGGCATTGACAATTGACGGAAAGGGAAAGTGAGAGAGAAGACTTTTCTGACAGACTTGCATACGGTGATACCGGGTCGGACAACAGTGTCAACAGTGAGTCGGCCGTCGATCAATTGCCTCCTCGCCTCATTCCATTCGATGTCACCGTGTGCGCACGAGGTGATATGCTTTTGCCGTGTCGTCGTCGTCGTTGTCACCCAGTCAGCAAATGGACTTTTCAGTCTACTCTGTCTGCTCGATTAGTTTCGATCTGATTCAATTGGAAACTGTTTCAGTACCAGTTAATCTACCTGTGTTGACGTGCCACACGGCTCTTCAACAACGTACCACTTTCTCTGCGGTAGCTGCGTGATTTATGAACACTCTGAGCTTGCACTTCATTGGCCGACAATTAATCGTGCTCGATTGTGTGTGTCACTTGCTGCACTGTGGATGAACTTGGTCGCTGTGCGTGTCTGATCAACAATCATTGCAATCACTTGCTGTGTGTTGAGGTTCTGCATCGTTGTTGAATCAATTGGGAATGGAACATATTCTAGACGCCACTAAATATTGTCAAGAAAGTATATTCGCTCAGAAAGCTTTAGAAGAGATGTTTTGCAAACAACTGATTTGCTGTCAAGTGAAGTAGAGCCTTTTTTCCGTTTAGCCTTTGGTGATGCTGGCAGCAAGCGAGCAGCCAGGTAATGATTGCATCTAGTATTAATTTTGGTCAATTACCTCACCAGACAATAATGGTGATAATTAATGAGCTCGATCACACAATAAATACCGTATTCAAATGAAACTCTTGTGTTTCATCAATAAAACTGATCCTTCCTTGCTAGCACAGATATGACTGCTGCTCAAACTGTTCAAGCGCTAGCACAAATGCCAATTTCGGCAGTGTTGGCTTTCGGGCATCCACTGTCGGACGCCGTCGCCTCGATAAAGCCGACGCTGATTGAGCGCTCGGTAAATCTGTTTGCCTGGCTAGCCACTTGGTAACGACATGTGTTTGATTGAAAGCCATCAGTGTAGCCGTGTATTGAGCAAGCGACACCCGGAAGCTTGCACTTGGTAGGTCAGACCGGCGACACTGAACTAAATTACCGAGCCTTCGTGTAGCCGAACAGTAGCTCATAGCATGAGCTGCATTCGCCGGCGGATTCTCTGTCAGTTTGTTGTTCTTCCGGCCCAAAATGGTGCGCAAATGGCGGCCGAGTCACCACTCAATTAAGCAGTGCTCAACAGCTCTGTACAAATTGCTGCCCGCAGAGCTGGAAATACTTTTTTTCAGGTAGTGCAAGGCCTCACAGGTACACGCTGCTAATGTGATATGACGCCTTTTGCCTTTGAATTAATTGCAAATCTACATCTGTAGATTTATTATTTGTCTAGCTGATACTGATGAGGCAGAGAGCGTCGAAAGGGGAAGCGGAACAAAAATGGCCGTAATGTAAATCGTCCCTCTGTGATTTTCCCAGTAATTGTTCGACCAGTGGGCACTGGTTCCCAGTGGCCGGTGCACTACTGCCTCTATTGCATCCATCGTCAGTGTTGTGCAGCCACTACTGTACCTTTGTTGTCTTCTCAACACTGTCGATTCACTTGAGGCAATCAGCCGGGGCGCGTGCCACTCGCGTGCTCTATGAGCTCATGTGACCTAGTGTCAGATAATCGTCCCAATCGACTCCGTCTTTGGTTGTCTTTCCCAGTCTTTATCTCACTGCAGAGCAGGTGCAAAGTAGGCGACCGGTAGATCGGCCAGTAGTTCTCAGTGGAGCACACCAATTGTCATTTAAATGGCTGCACACAGGCGCCAGAGGCATTCATCTACTCACTCAAGCTGCACTCTTACACCGCTGATTGCATTAATTGCAGCCGCTAGTGGAGAGAGAAAAAGTCTTTATGTAGCTTTTAGGCAGCCGTGCTATACTCTAAAGGAGCTGTAATGCTACACCTGACTGTTGACAGATAACTGACAACAACTAAACAACAAAAATAAATAACCTGTAAAATCAACTGCGCAAAAGTCATCAGCTTTTTTGTTAATTTCAATTAAATTGTTGTTGAGATATTTAAAGTAGAGCAATGGTGGAGTGGCAATTAGAGACGACCTAGAGTGTTTTGAAGGTCAGCCTGCTATACTAGTGACTGTCCATTCTTAGGTTACAAGTGAAAATGACAATAGTAAGTCCTATTTTAAAATAAAACATTCGGTTCGCCTTTGTCAGATCTTGTTATTCGTCAATACAAAAAAATGTACACAAAATTAATTTAAAATGAAAGAATACTTGTTGACAATAAATGTTTGCGCATTAGTAACGGTAAAGTTTAAATGCGTCAAAATGCAAATCGGGTAGCACCCTTCGTCGAAGTATACAGATCACATGTAATGTAAAAAATAAAACTATTCAGTTGTTAAAAATGAGATTCAACGACTTTCAGGCCAGTGCCGCTTGTACTCTTCGTGTTCTGCTAAATCTTCGAGAACCTCTTTTCGATGGAGTATGAGAATGATGAGCACAAGAACAACACAAAGCACCCCCAAGGTAGCCAGTGTTGAGAAGACAATGCTACTGGGGGTGTAGAAGAGTTTGCAAATCCAGTAAGTAGTTTCATTGGGAGGGTAGGGAATGAGGACAACTTGTGCGTCGGGAACAATTTGAGTCCATCGAGCTTTTCTCACTGTTTTCATATCGCCACTGGGAATACTCGCTTGGACGCTCTCAACGAAATTCGGCGTCTCACCCAAACCAAAAACTGAGTAGGGCATTTGAAGGGCGAAGTGTGCACTTTGAGAAAGCTGTGTCGAGCATCCTTTCACTGGTTTGCCATCCATGTCTGACGTTTCGTAGCATACAAAAAGGCCGGCTTGATTAGTTCCATAAGGCACCTTTTCTCCAGGGCAACCACCGCTCCCGCACAAACCGGTAGTGACGAGAACTTTGAGAAAGCAAGACGTTTCAATGAGCATGTTTCGAATCCAGATAATGTTGTAACCGTCAGTAGCATTTCGTGTTGTCATGATCACATCCAAACGTCCATTTTCCTGAACATCTAAAAATGAAGCCAATTCCACGTTATCGCTGATGAGATGCTCACTAGTCCAAAACAGATCAAACTTTCTTCCACCGGGCAGAGAGTCATCTTTGATATTTCTTAGAATTACTGCTCTGGTCTTGCTATCCTTGGTGCTTTTCATCACTGAAAGAAGATCAACAAATCCGTCGCCGTCCACGTCTCCGAAACGAACTGAAATGGGCAGTTCAAAACCATAAGCAGTTTTGATTTCTTCAAAATACAAATAAGTTTGATTGGAAGTTTTGTCATCGAAATTGGAAATTTTCACCCAATCTTTCATAGCAAAATTGTACCAGAGAATTTGAGGGTCACAGATACTTGACCATCGTTGTTTCTCACACACTGGCATAATGTGTTGAATGCAGCCATCCGTTTGGAGATCAATAAATAGAGATTGGCCTAAAATGTATTTTTCTTGGTCAGGATATGAAATTATGGCAGTGCTAGCCGGACTCCATCCACCTTCATCAAACCAGTACTCCATCTTCGTTTTCCCAGAAATAAATATATCTGTGCTGAAATTGTCCACTTCTATGCCGTCATTGCAATTTTGAATGTTGACAAAAGCATTAGAGTGAGGGAAACGCATGTTCCCAGGATTGCCGGGCAGCTGAAGTGAAGATGGACAGTCTTTGGTGAACTGTTTGTTGTTGTATGTCCACAGCTCTCGAGTACAATTTTCCGTTTCGACAATAAAATCAGCAATCATGTCGCCGTTGTAGTCCAAAATTAACGGATGAGATCTCACTTCTTTCAACAAGGGTGCTTTTGCCGTATTGCATTCAAGAGTGGCCCTATCGCCTTTGAAAATCCAAATATTGAATCGCTGTGGAGCATCTGGACTGATTTGCGTCACGACCATCACATCCATCATTGCATCGCCGTTGAAATCACCCGGAATCACACCAACAATGATGTCGCTACTGTGGTTAAATGTGCAGGAAAGATTGGCCATTTCTCTAAATTCGGGTTTCTTCTCGTACGATTTAAGCAGGTGAAGTGATTTCCCTCTATCAGAAATGAAAAACACATCAGTAAATCGATCTGAGTCAAAGTCACCAAATGCCGATATGAGGCCATTGGTTTTGGTGTCGATTATTTGCTCTTCGCTTGTGCAAGATGTATTCGTAATTGAAGACAACACTATCAGTAGATTTGATAATATGAAATGGACACAAACAATATGAATCCGCATTTTTGGCAAGACAATGTTGGCAGGTCATTGAGTTGACAAAGACATTGCCGAAACAAAAACAATCCAAAAGTAAAAAAATGTCTAAACTAGTCAATTCACAAAGTACGTCTACTAAATGCAAACATTTATTTTTTGGCGGCAAAAATACAATTTCAGGTAGTGTATCCTCCAGTTCTTAATCTATTTAATACAATTTGCAACATAGTTACAGTAATTTGTTACTTAATAACGTATTATTAAATTTTAAAATTGGTAAAGTACTTTTTGATTTGTTAAACTCTGCTCATATTGGCAAATATATAAAAATGTTTTTTATGAATGTGTGAAAATCATTTGTGAAGAGATTTTGGATTTGAAGATGGTGAAACTTGCTAAAAGCCCCTTGTGTTACTAGACAAGTTGGCAGTAATGTGAAAACCAACTGTGAAACACATTGAATAATAATGCTATTTTTATTTTAAAAGAGAGAGAGAGAGAGAGAGAGACAAACTCAGGGATGTTTGCACCACCACGAGAAAAAGTTATTGGGTTTGACAAAGAAGAAAAAATTATCCAGGCATCAGTATAGTTGGCAAGTTTTAATAAATGCTCTGTGGCCGACCAAACACTGGAAGTTGGTAGGCAACAGCAGTGGCAACGGCAGCATCCGAATAAACGATGGAAGCTGCAGTGCGACAACTGGTGCTGTGCAGTGCTACCAGTGCTCATCACTTCATGGCGGAAATTGATTACAACGCTGTAATTTGCCGTTACTCGACGGGGCAGCGAACTTGGCGGCAATGGTAATTGGCCAGCAGACAATGGACGTGCTTGAATCAATATTTGACTGAGGGGGCAAGTGATTGGGAAAGTGTGTCATGCACAATACTGCTCGTGCCTAGTGTCAATCATCGCAATTGGATACACGCTTTTAATTGATCGACCACTGGTAAGCAATGACGTCTAATTATAATCCATTGCCAGACAGACTTTGAATGAGAAGAGAAAAGTCGAGTGACGAAGAGGAGAAAGAAAGAGAAAGAGAAGAAGGAAAGTCTACGTTTTGAAGAGAAGAAGTGCACAACGTGAATGCAGTATCGGGGTAAATAGTTGCACTTCTTGTGACGAAGGCCACTTTTTCGGAGACGGTCATCGTTGCCTCACGCGACAGCACTCCACAGTGACTGCACTCGCCGACACTGCACTCAACAGGTTTGCCAGTGCGGCCAGTCTGCAACACAGACACTGCTTCACTGTCTGGCAGTGCTCTGTCTGCATTGCTCATCACTTACCTCACTAGATGCTCATCACTGACCACTACTGACAAAGACAACAAACAACGGTGCAACAACTGAAACACAACAGCAGCGATGCATTGAATTGAGAGAGAAGAGCTGAACGCACGGCCCAGCACAGGGCAGCAACATCATTTAATCACAGTGTCGGCTCTCGATTGTCCACTTCAGATTGTGTTTATGCTCCAATTTTATTTGTGTTTGTGCACTTTTAAAACGTCACCTCTAAGAACTGCCGTATATAATATTGACTGTTCAGTATAGTGTAAAGAATTATGAGAATTTTTATCTTTTGAAATGACGCCGCTATGGAAAAACAGAAATTTTTTCTTATTTTCATTGTCGCCGGTGCACTGGTAATATTTCTTCAGCAAGATTCTCTGCAGCTTACAGGCCGACACTGGAATAAATCAGCATCTACCTTTGAACACGATGAAAATATTTTTAGTATGTTACTTATTTTTACGTTTGGGTACATTATTATAATACTTTTTTTAAACAGATGTACACAAAAATCGTAAAAACTCCAATAAGAAAGATTGGGCGTACAGCAAGTTTATACGCCAGCTTTCAAAATCAATGACAAAAAATTTAAAAAAGCACAAAACTGATAAACTTAAATCAAAGATTGATGGCTTCAACCCACTGAGTCAGTTTCCAGTGTACAATGCTCAAAATGTATCCCGAGTTTTACTGTTGGGATATTTTCGCTCTGGATCATCTTTTGTGGGAGATCTGTTGCAACAAAACTGGAAAACCTTCTATTCGTAAGTGCCTATTGATGTAACCAAATCAGAATTTTAACCTTAAAATTTTTACATTAGGTATGAACCATTGCACTTTATGACACAAGCAAATCGCATCGGCCCAANGAACTGGAAAACCTTCTATTCGTAAGAGCCTATTGATGTAACCAAATCAGTATTTTAACCTTAAAATTTGTACAATAGGTATGAACCATTGCACTTTATGACACAAGCAAATCGCATCGGCCCAAAGAACGTGACTGATGCGCTCAATTTGATCTCGGCCATTTTTAACTGTGATTTTAAGTTCAACAAGTACGACCCTATGAGGTTCAAGAAAGATCCGTTTTTACTTCAGTGGAATAAATTCCTTTGGAATGTTTGTCGTTTTCGTCCTGACACATGTTTTGATGTCGATTACATCAGTGATGTTTGTGTACGCTCAAAATATAACATCATCAAACTTGTTCGTTTACCCGTCAAACATTTAGAAACTCTTTGGAAACAAATTGAGCATCTAAATGTCAAAATCGTGTATCTTGTTCGTGATCCTCGTGGTGTATACAACTCGCGAAAAAATGTGGATTGGTGCAAAAAAGACAAGGTATGTCGAAGCATCTCCAATATTTGTCAAGAGATGCGTAAAGATTTAAACGATTATGAGCGACTCAAAGCACTGATGGGCGACAATTTGATGCTGGTCAAATATGAGGACATATCCTTGGATCCACTGAACATGAGCAAAGAGCTTTTTGGCAAACTGAATCTAGTTTATTCCCCCAGTGTTGTGAGGTTTCTGACGTCCCACACCAAATCACGCCGTCGTGGTGACTCCAAGAAGCTTTACTCAACATATCGAGCCAACTCCAATTTCACTGCTTTTCACTGGACGCGTAAGTTGGGCTCAAAGGAGATAACTCGCATTCAAAGCAGCTGCAGAGATGTCCTAGAACGGTTAAACTACAAGTTTGTCTAGTTACCTTATCTAGGACAGTCGTGATACTGATGCAAATAGTTCATTATACATACACTACACTTTTTCTATTGTTTTTTGCTGTTCATATTTTTACTATTGTTGTTGCAATATTACTTTATTTATTTCTATTCAATACAAATCTTTTTGCTACAAAGAGATCATTCGATTGACCGATGATTGGCGATGAAGAAAAGAAGAAAGTGTGTATGTGCCACACAGGAGACATTGTGAGGGCAGCATCAAGTGGTAACATTATATGCAACGACGAAAAAAGAGACAATTTGAGGTTAACTGGACCACACAGTGCTCTTTGCAAATCGATGAGAGAGTGTCTACAGTGGCTAGTATTGGACAACACTTGCCAAGTGGCAATGGCAATCAATTGTTCAAGTTTTGGTACATTTAATTAATCTTACGTGTTAGAAGGTTCGGTACTGATGCCAAAACCCGATATTAAAACGTTTAAAATTGTTATCAAAAATACTAGAATTGTAGCAATATTATTATAGCGGTTTAGTCGTTTCTGCCGTTCGGTATCATCAAAGTTGATGTAACCAAGATAAATGAAGATGGCCCCCACCAGAACCTGCAATAATAAAAGCCAATTTAAAACTCGAACTGTTTTTACAAATCAACGTGTACTGACTTGAAGAATAATTGATGTGGAAATGAGAATGACCATTACCAGATAAAACTTGTTTTTGTCACCCAATTGCAAACAGTATTTAAGTTGGCTGAAAGAATATAAACAGGTGAAGTTGTGTACAAGCTGTATTTAGGTTCTAACCTTGCGTTCGCAGTAAGAAGTGCTACATCGAACATGCCCTGAGAAATGGTTTTCTTAGTGGCATATGAATTGGCGCTGACTGGGTTCTTAGGAACCTAAAAGCAAACATAATCATGTTAGTATTAAAAATAACAATTGTTAAAAATAAAAATTCAAGTTTGACTTGTTTTGATTAAATAATGACAGTAGGGATTTACAGTGTGACAGGCAAAATTACAAGGCATACCTCTTCTTCAACTACCATTCTGTTCATTTACAATTTTTTTATAAACAAAAGTGCAAACGTAAAAAATTTTAGTTGTGAGTTGATTCAAGGCGTCAACTCAAAAACGTCAGCAGTTTGAAATGAAGCATCTGAACAGTATTGTGTGCAGTAGCGATAGGCATTGCCACTCATGTGAGACGTGTTTCAACTTGCAGTGGTAAGAGAATTGACGCTCAAAGTATCTTTGAGAGGAGCAGGTAGCCGACTGGAAGTGATTAGCCTAATGCTAAAGGGAAGGGGAGAGAAAGAGAATTGGCAGACAGGTGTGCTGGCGTTGGCAGTGAGCAGTAGTGCCCACGGTTGCAGCTGCAATTTGACAGGCGGCAGAGGATGTGCACTAGTGCACTGGTGCACTGGTGCAGGGTCATTCCCTCTAACTAGCAGTGTTTTGTGCTACAATCAATATATGGCAGCTCACCTGGTCAGTGCTGGTCAATGGAGATATACTGGTCATGATGAATGCAGCTTAACGCACCTTGCACCAGCAAAGAATCAGTGAATTGCCTTTGTTTATCTTCGTTTTCTCACTGTTTCAAAAGGCCCGTTACTATGGATACAATGCACATGGTGAAATTCACTGCGCCAAAAATGTACGAGCATTTCTCGGAGTAATCATTAGTAAAAAGAAAACTGGTCCCAGTGCAGTAACGTTGCAGAAAACCAAAAACCATTAAAAGAAACCTAAATAGATGATCAATAAAATGAC